GAAGCTTTGAGCAATCGAAAAGTGAAGCAAAATGTCAATGAAATCAATAGCTTGGAAAACAGGTATTTACAAGGCAGCTATGACTGACATCAATCGATACCGTATACTCGTAGGGTCTTATTCAGCAAGTCAGTATGTACTTTTGACAACGACATGGCTGAACCGATAGAATACCAACTGTAGCCAATAGCCGATTGGAGAACTTTACGATTTCTGAAAACAGTGTCTCATATGTAGCGCACCGATCAATAATAGTTGACTGTGACTGTTGACGGTTATCTGGCAGAGCACAATAAGGCAGATGCGTACACTGATTACTGAAATGAACTGCCAACAAATCGCCAAATGTGGGCGGGACATATCCATTTGGAAGCCCCGCCCACTTAGGACGCGTGCCCGACGTTATTCCGTAAATCTGTTGAGATGAAGCCCTTGCGCTCCATAGAACTCCTTTCATCGAAAATCCGCCTCGTACGAGTAAACTCATTACCCTGCTACATCAACGGCTTTTGGACGAGTTGTTGTTGATCGTTTTCGTCACTAGCCCCGCCTAGTCAGGGATCAGCGGCGGATTTTTTGAGCAACATATGGTTTTCAAGTGACGATGTCACCCACCTCAGCGAAATTGCCCACAAATCGTGCTCTGTCCATGCGTGATCCGTGTCGATGTCGTGTTCAATGGCAAGCCTGGCGATGTGGGCGGGGCTTGTGTCAGTTGCCGGTACCGTTTCGGAAGAATCGATAATGGACGAGTCGAGGCGTCGCATGGAAAACACCTGAACAATTCTTTTCTTTCGACAAACATAGACAGCTACGGTACTGCTGCTTTTGTAAGACACTTATGGTTAGTTTCTTCTGCAAAGAGTTCTGAAAGTCCTACAGTAACTACAGCTTGAACCTAAGAACCTCGAACTTCACGAAAATACCCAGGTACGATTATATTTACCTGTGCATCAGATTCAGGTAACCCTATTGTTCTTAATAACGAGGCAAGATGTTCGTCCTTGGAACTACTTTCCGGATGTGGTTCATTTGGAAGGTTGTGTTGCGAATCGAGCAATACCTGCAACATTTTAAAGTACTTTAGAGCCTGTGATTACGGTATTTTTAAGCTACCGTAACTCCGGAGCTTCAATAGTAGCAAGAAAGACGCACTTTACACTCGGCTCTTGTAGTGCCAGTCAGAATGATATAGTAGCAACGTTTGTTGGCTCCAAAGCGTGGATGGCACCCTCGACCAGCAATGCCTAAAATTTCGATCGCATCGATCAGAGGATTGCGATATTCTCAAAATCGAAGTCAAACCTCGCCGGCCATGTGGATTCAGTGGGTAGCCAGCGGCCGACAGCATCCATCCTTTGCCAGAATCCATTGCCTGTCGTGAGCGCCATAGCCGCCGTAATTCGGTTACGTTCTAGAAAAATGTCGGTCAGGAGTGGGCGTGGCGAAAATCAATAATTTCAATCAATACTCGGCGTCTACGGATAGAATCGAACAAACCTGCTCTGTAGCGACCTCAACGTGCTTCGCGGCGTCTGTTGGAAATTCCTCTGCTGGACGACAGTAGAACGGTGGTGAGTAACGCGGGAGCAAAACCTTGATCAATAATTGATCAGAGCTAATCGATTATCGATTCAAAGCGAAGTTTTTGAAGTGAACTACCTGCCAAGATCTCTCCATTGATGGAACAGACAGCCGTTTAATATCTGTGTCCGCGTATGGTACCAATTCCATCTGAATTCATAAACCTCAGAATGAAGATGCTGGGACACTCAAGCCCAGGTTTGGGCGCCCAGACCCTGCCCGGGATTTCGAAAATGCAATTCTGAGGAATCACGCAGAGGGCTGACATAAATTCCTGAGTATGCAGCACTCGTAGAACGGCTTAACTCTTCAAACAACAAATTGGGATGTAGTCTGGGCGCCCGTACTTGGCACGGAGATCTTGATAAGGTACGTACCTCGGATTTACTCCTTCGTTCAGCTCCCAAGTAGGCGTTGTTCAGTGCCAGCATACGTAGTTGATTCTGAAATATTTTCTGGTATCAATGCATGAAGGAATAGAAAAACAAGAAGCTAGAAAGA